CCCCCCGGGGGGATCTGTGAACATGAGCAGGGTTGGTTCATGTGGCATTGTCTTAATTCTCTAAAAATCCCCCCACTCTTGCTCCTCTGAGTGATATTGAAACCCTGGTACTTGCTTCTTGCAAGTTCCAGGTGGAGCTCCCGTTGCAGCTTGTCCCGTATGGTCTTGATATAATTGCAACAGTCGAGGAAGGTCTTCTTGCATTCATCCGTATCCAGGATGTACCCAACCCGCTTCTCGCAGCTGAGCCCCTTGGGGTTCTCGTGCATCCCGTCTTCACAGCATTTCTTCAGCTTCCGGTCCTGGTAATCTGCCGCTGAAATGTACAAGTCAGAAGGTCATTCCTACCACATTTCTTCTAGTCCTCACTCTCTCTCATTAATTTACTACTAGACATGACCAAAGAAGGATCATAGGAACCGGCACTCTGCTCTAATCCAGTATCTTGTCTCTAACAGTCACTAGCACCAGCAGCTTCAGAGAAAGGTGCAAGAAACCCCACGGTGGAATAACCTGCCCACAGTGAAGTTTCTTCTGACCCCAGTCAGAGGTTGGCTCATGCCCGGAAGCATGAGGATGTATAGCTCTTCTTTAAAAATTCCTATCCTTTGGAATGGTGAACATCCTCCTTTTCCATGTAAATGGCTCATCCTTTTTTGAATCCTGCTAGGCCCTTGGCCTCAGTACAATCCTGTGGTGGTGAGCACTATGAGTTAATTATGCATCGTTTATGAAAATAGTTCCTTTTATAAATTTTTAATTAGAAACCATTCAGTTGGGTTGAGTGTCTCCTTGTGCTTATATGGGTAATGTAACAATGTACCTGTTGTTGTTATTTGAATTGTAGTAGCACTTTGGGTCCCCAGTCATGGCCCAGAACCCCACAGTGCTGGGGGCTGAACCAACACAGAACAGAGAGACGTTCCGTGCCCCAAAGAGCAATTTACCATTCATTATTTTCTATACCTCTATCGCATCCCCTCTATAAACTGACCAGTTCCAATCTCTCCTCATATGGCAGGAGGCTGTAGCAGGGTGAAACTGGTCACGCTAGGGAATCCCCTGATTAGTACCTACCTTTGTTTGCCTTATATTCAATGAGCTGAATGGAGCGACGCCGGCGTTTTGCTGGCTGGGGACACTCTGGATCTGCAGAAGGAAGTGAGAAACAGAAAATAAAAACCCACCCACCGAGTGAGGCCCTACACTCAACTTGCTGCCATGTCTCTGTCTGGATGTAACAGGGTAACTTTCGAACACCGCATCCGGTCAGTTCCCAAATTTCCGAGAATGGTCTATGGCTCAATGAGCGGAACCCCATTGATTTAGGGGGAAATCAGAAAACCAGAAAAGCCATTTTGTCACATAACATATTGCTCCTTCCTGTCCCGGTGGGAGCCACATAAGAGCTGTTGGGCAGATGCTCAGCCAGCCAGGGCAACCAGAAAGAGAGGAGAGAGAAGGAAACTTCATTCCTTCCTCCTTCTTAGCGCGCTGCCCCCAAAAGCCTGCAGTCTGGGGTAGAGAGAGAGTCAGAGAGACGAACCAACCATCTGCCCGTCCCTTCCAGGCCAGGGGGAAGAAAGATACTTTGGAAATGGGAGAAACCCAGTGAGCTAGAAGAGAAACTCTTTGAATCCCATCCTCGAAACCATCCCATCCTTAAAATTAATCCCTCTTTTAATAGGTGGGGGCCAGTGGGAATTCAGGACCTTATTCTCATCCCCCACGGTAACCCCAACATTTCCATTCCTAGGCCATTCTAGTAGGATTTGCCCTGCTAGACTGATGTCCCTACCCCAGGCTCACGCCGTAGGTCACTGTGCCTTGCTTTGCTGACTCTTTCCTCCCTTCCTCCAGCGCTCATGGCAACCGTTCAGCTCTATAGAGTGATACCTGTTCTCTGGACTGTGGAAATCCTATTGCTCATCTCCAGGGCCAGTCCAGCATCCGTAAATACCCCCAGATTGTTCTTTCCACTGCCAGCTGTACAGCCAATGTCACTCTTCTCCACGGAGTCCCAGATCTGTGAGGTGCAAACACAATGGTTGAGAGATTATTGTTAACAATGACACTTTCCATTTATACGGTGCCATCCAGCATGATCCCAAAGCATTATACAGGCTCTGAGCCAGATTCTGGTCTCGGGTACAACTGTGCAATCTGCAGTAACTTCACTGACTTCCTTTGACTAGCTCCGTGTCTGCAGCAGTGTAAATGAAAGCAAAATCTGAGCTGTAAGTAAAGGATTTATTGCAACTCAGTCCCCACTGAAATGCAGCCACCTCTGGGATGGAGCACAACAGCCATTCTGCACCAGCAACACAACCGATTTTAGGAGGAGAAAGAAATAATTATGCAGCCAGTTGAACCCAGACAGAGGAGGATTTTAGGCAGAGAGAAATTAAATACCCAAATTAGAATTCAGCCAGAACACCCAGGGCCTGACCCTTGTGGAAAGGGTCACAGGACATTTAATGACCAGAACCTCTGTTTGATAAGTCAGCTGAGAAATGGCAGTTTCAGTAGCATTGCATCCCCTAGAACCTTGATAGGGCCCAGGGACCAGCGCTGACTCAGAAGAAAGCGCACCCTCTGTTGAGTCACTAACGCTTTTCCCTGCAGCACAGCACCCACTAATGTTGCACTGGGACATTGGGTTCAGCACTGACTGGGGAGGGAGAGCGCCCCCTACTGAGCACACCCCCACTCCCTGATGTACAGCACCACCATGGGCACTGGGGTGAGAACTGCCTCTGAAGGGAGAGCGCCCCCTACTGCATCACCCACACAGTTCCCTGCAGCCCAGCACCATCTGGGTCAACAGTGTCCCAAGGGCAGGGTGTCCTTTAGTGTGTGCAGAACAGCTCCCTGCAGTACCCTGGGTTTCACTGGGTGTCTCCCAGCCAAGTACTGACCTGGCCCGGCCCAGCTCAGTTAAAGTACAGTCGAGCTCACACCCCAAGCAGCAGGTCTGCAAACAAACGGCTCACTTTGCTTTGGGGCGTAGAGCAAGGATAAGAGCCGAGCTGCATTTCCTGCTATAAAACATCACAAGTTACAACCAACATCTTTCATGCCCCACCTTAGATTGTGTAATTTTGTGTTTTTTGTTCAGAACGGAGACCCCTTTGTCCACGGCCACCAGGCCGACATAAGCTCTGTGGTCTCCTTCCAGCTTGAGTTTCATTGGAGTTCCCGGCTCATGGATTCCCCTGTCTTCGTCAGTAGCTCCATTCACCACTAGCTGTATGAAAGAGAGTGAAGGGAGAGGTTTTGTTTTAAAACAGAGGGAGCAGCTAAGAACCTGTCCTTTGCAAAACATAGGAGAAAAGGATGTCAGACATCTTGTTCCTTGAGCATCTGAAAGCCTGGTTCTGATCTCAGGGGCAGTTGTGTAAATCTGGAGTAGCTCCACTGATTTCAGTGCTGTTACTCCATATTCATGCTTGTGTAAACTAAGAACAGAATCGGACCCAATGTCCATGAGACCCCTTTGTTCCAGCCATCATGGAAAGGTGACCAGGGCCAGCTTTAGCAAGTGTGGGGCCCGATTCGTGGGGCTTGTACTCACCGGGCGGCGCTCTGAGTCTTCAGCGGCACTTCGGATTGCCGCACTCCGGCCGGGGGAGGGAGGCCGCGGGGCACGCAGTGCTCTGGCCGGGGAAGCGGGGCTGCGGGACTTGCAGTCCTCCGGCAGGGGGAGCAGGGCCACAGGGCTTGCAGCGCTCCGGCCGGTGTCACGGGGCCATGGGGATTGCCGCGCTCCGGCCGGAGTCGCGGGGCTGTGGGGATTGCCGCGCTCTGGCCGGGGTCGCGGGGCCACGGGGATTGCCGTGCTTCGGCCAGGGGAGCAGGGCCGGGGGCTTGTACCTGGAGCGGGTCCGCTGGCTTAGAGCGGTCTGCCTGGGCTCCGGCTAGGGAAATGGGGTGGCGGGGCTTGCCACGCTCCGGCCGGAGCGCGGCGGGGGGAGCAGGGCCGCGGGCTTGCCACACTCCAGTCTAGGAAGCGGGGCCGCGTGCTTAGAGCAGTCTGCCTGTTCTCTGGCTGGGGGAAGAGGGCGGCGGGGCTTGCCGCGCTCCAGCCAGCGCTCTGACCGGAGGAGTGGAGCCGCGCGCGGGTCCTGCCGCGCTCCGCTGGGGAAGCGGGTCACGGGGTTGCTAGGCTCCGGCCGGGTAGCGGGGCTGCGGGGATTGCCACGCTCCGCCCTGTGCTCCGGCCAGGGAAGCGGGACTGGGGCTTGCAGCACTCCAGCTGGGGAGCAGCACTCCGAAGACCCGGAGGGAGTGAAGGACCCGCCA